CCTTACTGGGTACTCTGTTAGTTGGTAGTTCCCAAGTACTTTCCCCAGAGCCAACCTTCGACAAAGTTTTCTTTCTTGTTTTTAATTAAAAAACATTTTCATTGCAAGGTGCAAAATGGCTAGCAAATTGCATGGAGAACACAAGGCAGGACCGTCAGCAGGACTTCGGGCGCCATTTTGAGTTGCTGGCTTAACGAGAGAGACACCACTACACTGACACTGGCACTGGCACACACACACCCACACTCGCACACACTGATTGAGTAAGTGACTGCGTTTTGTAGTTAGCTCGGGCATGTCCTTTGGGTTTCGTCTGGTGTTTTCTTGTTTTGTTTTTTCAACAACATCAGTTTCAGTACCAGTACCAGCACTAGTAGCACCAGTCACCAGAAACAAAGCAAGAAAAAAGTTTAATTAAGTTTGCTGGTCCTGGTTTATTTTTAACTCAAGTTGTTTTGCATACAACAGCCGTGAGTTTTGACAGCTGCCCGTAATTTATAAGGGCATTTAGTTTCAGATTTTTTCCCACATAAACGTGGGCGAACCCATATGAAAGGGGAGGGGGGGGCTTAGGACGAAAGTTTTCCAACGAATATATATGATGGAGAGCTAAAAATATGGGGGATTTTGCACAGAATATTTTGCTTTGTATATAAGATATACTTTTTAAGCCTAAATATAGTTTTAATTAAACTTTAGGTAAGGGTATTAGCACAGATTTATGGGGTTTTTGGGTTTTAATATGAAAGGAATATATATAATATTACGAAAAGAAAATCAAGAGGAGCCACAGTAATTGCTAGAATATTTTTAAGACGTTAACAATTTTTTATATTCTTACTAACTACTTTTTAACCATTTCCAATTAAGTGGATTAGTGTGATATAACCATCGAAGGAAGGTATAAAACTTTAAATTAGATTTGTTATCATTTTGACAGACAGGTTGAACTGGTCCGCAATCTCCTTTTCATTGCGGATCTACACTAATCCTGGTCATATGCACCTGACAGTCGTGTTGCAGCTGCTGCTGCCATCCGCCTTTGGCCAAAAGATAATACTCCGCTGATTGTCACTCATTTGCATTTGTCATTCGCATTATATGCAGTCCAGCTAGCCAGCTTCCAGTTTCCAGCTATTCCTTTGTGATTTCCATTCCCTGGCACCATCAAATGGAGCGGCAGACCCGATGGCAAGGATCCATTTAACTTGCAATTTGTGCAAACGACTTACAATTGTCGCAGACAATTTTGCCGTTCTTCTATTCCATTTTTTTTTTTTAACCAGAACTGGAGAATGGGACGTAAAATCGCAAATTTCTACATTTCATCTCTATTTTTTTTTGTTTCGCTCTGTTCTTAAGCTTAGCCAACCGAAAAAAAGAGAGGAAAAATGGGAAGAAAAACTGTGACTAGAGGAAATCTGTTTAATCTGTTCTGACAAAGAAAATCTTTGGAGTTTTGAGGAATTATTTGAAAAGGGTTTAACAAAAGAGTACTTTCATTTAAGTTCTTAAAATTAAATAAGTTTCCTACCACTAGAAACCTTTAAAAAGATATTTCAAATCAATATAAACTTTCTATTTATTTCCTCTTTAAAATCACCTTTGGACTCGCTTCACAGAACACTTTCCCCGTGAAAGGCTTTCCATCTTGTTAAGGCCTGGCAAATTGGGAGCACTTTTCCAGGCCAACTTCGGGCCCCCTCGTTCGATGCGAGATAGCAATGGCAGATGGGGCGGACAGGTGGGTGGTACAGGTACTCAGGTATTTCGACTCCGTTCCGTGGAAGTGCGAAATATTTTCACTGCGATTTGCATTCGTTTGGCGGGGCAGGCAGGAGGTGTGGCAGCTCGATTTGGTGCCGCACATAAATGCAAATGCAAAAAGTGGCCAGGGAGGGAGTGGAGTCGAGTCGCCTTTCGATTGCTTTGCAGGGAGGAGCAGGAGAAGGTGGCAGCTGGCAGCGAACAAAGTGTGGCATACATTTAGGCGTCGCCGCATGCAAATGTTTGACGTTATACAATAATAAAAGCAAATCCGTGGCAAAGCAAGCAACAAAAAAAACAGCAAATAAACGAGGTACACACAAATATACACATCATATACAAATATATATATATATAACTTTTTTTTGTAGTATTTTCCTCGGCTTACTCTTGCGACGTTTTTATTTCCCTTTCTGCTTTTTCAGTTTTGCATATTTTTCTTGTTCGATTTTTATCGCCACGTCGCCGACGACGAAAATGTTGCGCAAATATTTGCGCTTTTATGTGCATAGCAAAAACCTCTTCTCGCTTTTTTTTATGCCTTTTTTTCCCCCAATCGACTTGGAAATTTTTTCCTTTCATTTCTTTTTGTGCATTCAGATTTTCGCTTTGCAGATGCTTGTTGTTGCTGCTTTTTATGATTTACTTGTGCTTTATGTTTGTACTTTGCTTCGTATTTGTGTTTGTGTTGGTATTGGAATTGGTACACAGGAAAAAAATCGTATTATTTTCGATTTGTTATAGTCAGATTAATATTTAATGTATTTGAAAAGAGCAGAAAATGCATTGTTTTGGCTGATTTTTTGAGAATTTTCATAATGTAGCCCTTTATAAAATTTAAAGAAATTAAAAAAGAGTTTATTTCTTATTTACATGGATAAATAGACTCGGCTGTTGATGCTGATCAAGAATAAACATGATGTGTAGGGTCGAAAATTTTTAACTAAGTTGTATAATTTTGACTAAAATTATAAAAACCTGTCAAGGTATACAAGTTTAAAGTAAAAAAAAGAAATCATATTAAAATACTATAAAAAATTAAATGAAATTTTTTATGCATCAATGATAATATTTATTATTATAAGTTATTATAAGAAATTAATTTTATGAAAAATTTGAACTAATTTTATAATTTCAAAAAATTTAGATCATACTTTTAAATAGATTTTAAAGTTTTTTAAAAAACCCCAATGAAATATACACCCAATTCTTTCAGTGCTTTTTGTGTACACACTGTTGCAAAGGTAAATTGGATTGATAAATTGAAATCGCATTCCGTGGCCAAAGGGAGGAGGTGAATAAGCAGCGGGGAAGAGAAAGATAGAGAGCAAGGCGAAAGGAGATAGAGGAAAATCTTTTCCGTTTTATTTACCTTATTGATTTTCCCTTTTGTACAGGTCGCATTGTGTATTTGTGCACCCCCGGCCCGAGATAATCAAGCTGAAGTTGCATTTCCCCATTTAGGTGGCAAAAGTTTAATGGATTTTCCTTGATTCCCGACTCCGAAAAGTGTGCTTTAAGAACTTTTCTACTTCACCAAAAACACCTGGGCTGGAAGGTGCTACCCCTGACAATCCCCCCCCCAAAACATCCATCAAAGTCCGGCGTTAAAACCATTTCCATGTTCGCTTCCTTTTCCAAAACAAATTGTCGTCAAATAAGGAACATTGGAGCCATGACGTCACAGCTAATTAGAGTAAAATGTGGGGAAATTTGTTTCGGTGAGTGACACTGTCAGTGAGTCAAGTTTTTTTTTTTTTTTTGCTGCAATGGGCCTACTAATTAGTTGATTAAACGTAGCTTGGCCCATTGTCCATTTACTGAAACAAAATTGGGTCTAAACTGGTTTGCTTAAGTATGTGGAGAATAGAAAATATAGTGCCAGGTTTTAGCCTTGTCAATTAGTAGTCAAAAAGATATTTTTGTGCTGAAATCTAGAATTTGAAGATAATAGTTTGGGTTTTAGTTACACGAAATTTCCATTATGAAGTGGATAAAGCTTAATCAAGTTTAAATTTAAAGCTGTGCTTTAATTAGAAAAGTATCTCCAACACGTGCAGGTTAATAATCTCTTAGATAAAATATAAAAAAAAAGAAAAAGGTTAATTACAAACCAATTCCAATAAATATTAAATAGCTACAAACATTTATTCAGTTCAATAAGCATGGAAATATTTACTAATTACACTAGCCAGCTTAAATTTAAATTATTTAAACTTGTCTTGTATATGTAAGATTTTTTAAAGATATTTTTTAAATATTTAAGAAATACTACTTAAAGTAAAAATGCCACATTTAATTTAATTAAATTTTTAAATATTTCAAACTCAATGTTGTTACCTAGTGTAATTCACCTGAACTTAATTATTTAGTATAGAAGATTTTAAATACTTGCAATGTTTTGATTTAGATTCTACACTTGAATGTGAACAAATGGGTTAAAAAATGATATGAATAAATAATTTATAATTGATCTACGTTATTATTAAGACATTAATTTGAGTATAAAAGCGGATCAACTTATCCAAACTTATTTATTGTCATTTAAAATGTTTTCCGGGCAAGCTATTTTGTTGAACTCATTGTGCTTTTACATCTAGTCAACAGGGTATAAGAAATTGTCCTATTTGGTATATAAAATTGTATATTTATTTTTTTTTAATATTCTAGATTACCTGCAAAGTGGAGTTCACCAATGTCAAGAGCATTACCTTGGACCCAGAATTCGATGAGTTTAAATATTGCTTTCCAAAGTCCGTGAATCGTACTTACAAATACCTTTCGTTGAAAGTCAATCTGCATAAAAGGCCAATAACCAAGGTTAAGGTAGGTATTTATACATTTGATTCTTAAGTGCAGTGTATAATATATAGAGTATATTTTCAGATAAATGTTGGACTGTTTAAGCGTTATAGTGGCTATAGGCCCTTCCTTTATAATCTTACTGTTGATGCCTGTAGATTTGTAAAGAATCCAACCTCCAATCCCATAGCTGGCTTTCTTCACAGTTTATTCAAGACTCACTCCAATATTAATCATTCTTGTCCCGTTGATGTGAGTTATTTGTTTATATGTATTGTTTATTATTTTTTTTTAGATTAAATCTTTGTTTCTTGTTTTTGCAGCATGATGTAATTGTAGACAAACTTCCCACCGAGTTTGTCAATAACCAGCTAACTAATGTCCTGCCCTTTCCCCATTGTGACTTTCTTTTTCATTCAAACTGGATTGCATATGATATCAATCGTGCTACGGTTGATGTTTACTTTACACTTTCTTGATTTTGACTTTCGCTACTTGTGCATAATGTTTAATTTCAGTAGTATTTACATTTATTTACATCACACCGCGGCAGTCTAAGTTAATTGCCTATTTTAATTTATCCTGAAATTCAAATGAAAAGCTTAACCAAAGTCCAGACGGCATAGCTTACGGCAATTCCCAGTGATAGTGCGTGGGCATAGTGCAGGTATTTGAGACTATGAAAAAAGATAGAAATTCCTTATCTTATCTTATCAGTTCAATGGAAAACCTTACCGATCCTTGAGCTTCAGAGCCTTGGCCAGAGACTCTGGATTCTTGGGGTCCTTGGCAATATATCGTCGAATGCCATCTATACAGAGCCTGAGATACTCGTTCCAATCCACACGATGCATATCAAAGTCATAAGAGCTTCGATCCCGCTCGGTTAACGTGTTCAACAGTCGCTGGGTGTTGGTCATGCCAAAGTTAAAGGTGGTGGTGGTAAATAAGCGTACCACTTCTATATTCTTGTGCACCTTTTGGTACAACTTGGTCAGGATGGGCTTGCGGCCCGTGAGACGTAGTAGGGTGTCAAAAAAGTAACCCGGAATTTTGTGATAGAAAATTGTGGCTAGCGGAAACAAATAGGGGGAAACTAGGAGGATATACGGATACCAAATCATATGGGACAGTGGAGTATTGTCTCGATTCACAACCAGTAACTCGATAAAGGAGCCATAGGTAATATGGTTTGTTTCTGTGGGAGCGAGAGTGTATATAGGGGGAGTCTCTTTCTTAGATTTTACACCCAATTCCCAGGCACAGGCCAGTGTCAAATTAGCGCAATAATCAGCGGGAACAACCGCGATCTTGACATGATTATACGCCATAACAACTCTCACTATTCCGCGAGCTCCACCATAAATTAGGGCCAGGGGTCCAAACAGATTGTCTGCCCAACCAAGCAAGGGATCCTTGTAGGTGGGCATAACTAGGAATTGAAATGTTTAAGCATCACAGTTCGGAGAATCATTAATCCCATTCACTTACCGATTGCGGGCCGGAAGATGCAGATGGGCAGGTCACCCGATTCCCTACGAATCACGTCCTCTGCCAGGGCTTTGGTGTAGGTATACGTGTTGGGATAGGATCCTACCAATGTCGAGGTCATACTGTCCAGTGTCTCATCACTCAAGAGCTCACTCAAGGCCAGGATTGTGTCCGAATCATCTTTAAGATTCTCCGGATAGAACCTCTCATCGATGTCGGTCAACACACAATTGGAGTAGGCGGTGGAAATGTGGACAAAGGCCACCAGCTGGCTCATCTGCTTGGCCAGCTGAAGCATCAGCCGGGTGGCACGGACATTGATGGCCAGGGACAAATGCATGGCCTCGTCGAAGCGTACGGTGGCAGCTCCATGGATAACGACCTGTACCTCGTTAACCAGGAGCTTTCGATCCTTTTCGCTTATGCCCAGATCCGGTTCCAGGCAATCGCCTGCAATGGGAGTTACCCGCTGCAAGGCCTTCGGCTGAGCCTGGAGGAGCACTTCAAAAATCTTTGAAGTTGAGATTGAAAACTAAGCACTTTCTTAAATCCGGCGAAGACTCACCGGGTCCTTCTCCCAGGCTGAGGTGCGTCCTTCAATAGAGACTCCTCGCTTGGGCCTGATCAGCGAATAGATCCGCTTTACCTCCGTTGTCCTCAGGAGTTTCTCAGTGGCCACTGAGAAAGGGAAAGGTATGATTATGTGTCTAACGGAAATTCCTTTTAAATTCGGAATACCTTTTCCCAAAAATCCCGAACCACCAGTTAGGAAAACTGTCTTATTTTTAAAGAATTCGGGTATTCCGGGTTCCATGTTTGCGCGGTGCCGTGCTAAGACTAAAAAGCTTTTCAAAAACATTCTTGCGTTTTATTCAAAATTCAAAGAATATATTTGAGTAAATTATATTGCATTCGATACTGACGTTACGTAAGCACTTAGCCATTCATAGGTCATGTAATGGAATGAATATATTTCACTTTTCGGAATATTTTGAATTTTTTTGATCGTGCCACGGAAATTTTCGCAGACCGACTGTTAACAGTGCATATAGCAGAAATGGTATATACAATCGATATTGTATCGATATTTTATAGGAAAGTTTATATTTAAATTGATATTTGCCATAAATTGATATTATGTTTCATAAATTTCATTAATTAAAGTATTTTAAGAGATAAATCAATTACGAATGAGATAAATCACTTAATTACAATTCATCTTTGGACATTTTAAAACAATATCGAGGGATCAATGTTAAATGCGATACTTTTCGATATTTAAAGTTTAGGGTATTTTCAAGCGCTTATAATATCATATAACCATATTATTCCTTTTTATTCTACCTGGAAATTGTATATTTTTTTACGAAAGTAACTACAATTTGTTGTTTCTTTGACTTTCAAGTGTTTATTCGATAAATTTCAATATAGAAAAACTATAAATCTACGACAAACATGTTCAGTTATTTGGTATTGTGTGTGTTTATGTGTGTTTTATATGCAAGATGACTTAATTACATTAATGTTTCTGTCCGCGATCAGTGATCGATGATCGGTGTAGCGTGAAGGTAACCCTAACCCAAGCACCCGTGGCCCATGTCTTTCCCTTGTAGAGCTCAGTAATGACGCTGCATCACACGGTCCAGATCATTCCAGCTGCAGGAATAATCAATCTGCAGCAGACCCTTCTTGCTCAGTCCGAATTTACGGGCGTAAATTCCCGAGTAGAGCGAGGAGTCGCCTCCGCTGGAGTGCGGCGATGCCCCACGACGCTCCAATGTCCTATCCGCCACACCCAAGGTGCCATAGAGGGTGGATGGAGCGGCGTATATAAGCGACGTGGCCTGCTGCTGGCACTCGCTGCAATCCGTTATGCTGCAGTACGGCAGTGTAGCGTACGGATTGCAGTAGTCGTAAGCGGGCGAGAGCGGTGGCGGGGCGGGAAAGTCGATCTGGGGTGGTGGATTTGTAGTGGCCATCTTTCCGCTACGCTTGCGCCTCGGATGTGGGGCTGTTCCATAGCCACTGGCCATGTGATTTTGACTGGGCACAGAGCGGCGCTGGAGAGTGGCAGCCCGCCGAGAGGGCAAAGGACGTTCATCTCCAATTGAGGAAGGATGCTCCATGGAGCTGGTACTAGAGAAGCCTGAATGATAATAGTTACAGTAAGGTAAGTTCGATTTTTAAGTAATTTAATTTAACTTATCTTACCCCCAAAGCCATTGTACAACTGACGCTGCTCTTCACCATATAGTTCCTCCTGCTCCTCTTCCGCCTCATTATCATCCAGGTGCAACTGCCTGGTCATGGTGGCCATGTAGTCCTCGTAGCGACTGGGCGCACCATAGACATCACTTCTGGCCGTATACAGAGGCTCCTTGCGGGCACTACGGCTCCTCCTCCTACTCCGACTCTGGTGACTCCTCTGGGGCACACAGCACTCCAGCTGGCACTGGGCCCGGGACACGCGACGCGTCTGGGTGTGGGGCCTTGGCATCGTAGCGGACATGCCCATGCCGTAGCCATAAGTGGGACTGGGTGTTAGGGAATTGTTGTTGGAATTGTTGCCACTGCCATAGGCGGGCTCTACCACCTCTTGACCACCCATGGTGACATCATCGATCTTTTTTCGCACATAATCATAGTTCTCTAGGTCCCAAGGATCCACATAGCAACGCTGCGAAGGCAGCAAGGTTGTGCCATAGATATCCTCCGTGTTGTCAATGGTGTAGTAAGGGGATTCCAGGGCGCCCACACCCTCGGAGGAGCTGCCAGGAGGCAAGGCCTGTTTGGGTCCAGTTCGACGCCTTCGCGGGGTGGTTTGACTGCGTTCACGCATGCTGCAAAGAGAGAGAAAATGTTAAAATATATAAATAAATATTTAAAAAATAAATATACATTAAATATATGTTTTTTATATATTTTCTTAAAGCTAAACTTATAAATATTATATAAACTTTAGCCGCAAAAACTTCATCTTCACATGGACCTGATGATCTCTGCTCCAAATCGTTTTCTGTGTGGGAAAGTCATAGAAAAACGTTGAAAATTAGAGGAGTTTTCACACGATGAAAACCACGAGCAAGTGCATCAACTGGTTGTTGGTTGTTATATAATGCATTTTGCAGTCACCACAACTCAGTCACTAACTAACTCTCTTCCGTCAGCCCAATCGAACCAGTTCTCCAGCATTGGCCGCGAATTTTCCCGCGTTGGATCTGAACAGGTATACATATCTATATAAATATATATATCTATCTCTTCTCTTGCAGGTGTTACACTTCACGACTTCACAGCAAACATTAGCCGGTTTATGGATCTGCATATTTTAGCATGGCCAATCAATTGGCATTCCAATTGCCAATAAGCCACCGACTGACTGGTTTACTGCCAAAGAAATTAATACAAAAATCTGCAAGCCAAAAACAAAATGATTTACCTATCGAATATTACTAAAAATATATATCTTTAATTAAAAGCGATACTGAAATAAAGCTCGCGCCTGCCAGTAATTATAAATATTTCATTAAAATATGTAAAACAAGTCAAGTGGAATAATTGCACTGCACAAAAAAAAGAAGAGACTGAGGGAAATAGCAAAGGTTTAACTAGAATGGACGTCTGAATGTGTCAATTGCAAATATCAAAATGTTTCGTTATTTACTTTTCCATGGGCAGTAAAAATTAATTAAAATAGTAAACGAAACTGTTTTTAAACCAGATTTAAGTTCGAAGCTTAAAAAAAATGCTTAAAATAGCTTAAATCTCCAGCGACCACTGAATGGAAGTCATTCAATTTTTATAAACACAATTTTTAGCTCTCATAAAATATTATTAATTTGCATTCTCTCTTGGCCTTTTTACTTCCCCTGAAACAGTTTTTCTTCTTTCAACTTAAATAGTTATGAGCATTTTTTTGTAGGCTTTTGGGTTTTTTTGTTCAGGTTTTCTATTTTTTGCCTCGGTTATGAGCTTGCAAACGCCCATTCGAAAAAAGGTTTTATGCAATCTTTTCAGAGGGGGCATTTGTAATTTGTGCATTTGCATAAAAATTCCGTGTTCGCATTGTTTTTGGCTGTTTTGTTTTAATCGCTTCGGTTATCGATTAACATTTCTATGGCTTTGACAAGCTAAAACTCATTTTCTTCATGTTGTGTGTACACAGAAAGAAAAACACCATGACTTGGCAGAGGAAATCGTGTATCTTGCGGCTCTACAACTTTAATGGCATGAATCCAAACATTAAATATACACAAGATGTATTTTGAATGCGTTTTCAGCTATTTGCCTGCCAAAGAAAATAGTTTTTGGGCTTTTGTCATGACTTATTTATTATTCAAACGAAATCAAAAATGTATTGGCAGCGAGGGTGGCGAGGATATATGTGTGAATAATATTAAATCAATTGCAAATGTTTTAAATATTAATGGGAGTTTTCAGGATGAAGATATTGCCTTATTTACTTTCCTTTGAAAGCTTAATATTTATAGAATTAAATTTCAAATAAATTTCTGATTTAGAAATAGGAAAAACATTTGCATTTCATTTATTTCACCTCATTACGTATACGCAGTGTGGCCATTAGCCATAGAAAGCTAATTGCCTGGGCAGTGTTTAATCGCAATTAAAGTTAAATATTCACTTGCATTTAGCCTGGGTATAGTTGAAACCACTTATGGCCCCAAGTTCCTTTCCTGCTAATTAATTGGCATCTTTGGCCGAGACTTCCACCGCTCTGCGGTTGACTGATTGCCCCGGTCAACCTCAGAGGCTCCGGAGTCAAACAGCCTCAGCCTCCGTTTGAGTCTCTGTGGTTCATCTCGGCACAAAATTGCCCCTTTGACTTTGGCTTTGGGCCATTTGCATACCAAATGTGTCAAGTTCGAGTCGAATTACTTTGTGTAATTTGGAGTTAAAAGTGGTTTAGCGGGTGATTGATAGTCGCTGGCTACCTGCATTAGTTTCCATAAATATTTATTTGATTTAACGGAAAGGTATTGAGTTGAACTTTATTAAAGATGCATAAAATATACATAGATACCAAACAACTCTTTTAGGTTTTCTTACAGTCCCTAAGAATTATAACAAATATTATTTGACTTTTTAAGTTTGATTTCTATATAAACGTTATAATATTCTAAATCAAAATCTTAAAATCAATCATGTGATGTTATTAAATAATACAATAAATATTTTATACAAACTATTTTCTTTTAATGAATTTAATTTAATTTATTTCGCCTTCAAAATCAATTAATCTTATATTAAAACTAACTTTTAGCCACAACCTGTTCACATGGGTATTTTTTTTTTATTTTTTCATTCAACACTAATTATGCAAAAAAGTAAAAATAACATAAATATTTCAACATCGAAGATAATGCAAAGTAACTGGAAACAAGTTTGCCAAATGCCAGGCGGCGGCGACCTTGTTAGATATTCGAAAAAATGAATATTTATTCGAGTGATATCATGCCCAAAGGCGGATTTACATGAACCAAATCCAGAGTGGACTAAAATTTATACAACCGCACCCCCAAGATAAAAGAAGATCTGCAAAATGTTTAAGAATGAATCACCGAGGAAGAACAGTTCGTCGGCATACCTGGGCGTACCAGGAGTAACCCTAAATGGTGTTCATTACAATGCCACTGATTTTACATTTACATTTACAATATATTTAAGATTCAGAGACACCCACGCCGAAGATCACTCAATCTTGACAAGCCCACAGACACACACACACACAACCGTTGATGAAGCTGAAGATACACCTCAAAAGATCTTGGGACGCAGCCCACATGTAAATCCGTCAACTTTCTTTGCTTTTGACACAGTTTTCTTGACGGCTTCATTCACCTTTTTTGGGAACAGGAGAGATAGATATTTGAATCCAAATTGGTTTGTTTTCTTTTTGGTTCCCGGTCACTTGTCACTTTGCTTGCGGTAGAACGCCTTATTTTATGGTCACAATTCTTCGGTGTAATTTGCGAATTTCAAGCACGTTCGAACCGTTCATGATCAACGCGCATGCGCAGCCGCGTTGTGTTCGCTTCTTCGACCGGCACTCAACTGTTTTTGGCCAGCTTTGTTTGTCTTTCAGCCCGCAAAGTAAACCTGGCCAACAGCGAGCATGTTCGACGTGGTTTGATCTTCGCGGTTGCCGTTGATAGAGGTTCGCTGCTCTTTTGGGGAGTTTGCCAATTTCCATCAAAATTAATTAGAGTTTCCATTCAGCTTTTTATGGCTTTGCGTTGAGTGTAATTTCGGGGCGGCTTGTAAATTAATTAGCAGTAAATTAAAGTGACAGCAAGTGATTATGTCACAGGCGGAGAGCGCTCTTAAAAGTCACATTGATATGCAAATTTGTGAGTCGTTGAAATGCGGCTGCGACTGCGATCCGAAGAAATGTTAAAGAAAAAATGAGAAAAAAGTACACGATTTTTTATAAACAACAAATGGAAAATACTCTTTTTAAGTTGAGAGAGGTTTTTACAAATTTAAAATTAAAGATAAGATGTAGGTAAAATATTTTAAGCCGGACAACAATAAAGTCGAATTGAAAAAATAAAATTTTTTATGAAGGTTGTTCCTTTAAATCCCTAACATATATTTTAAATGATTTTTAAAGCTAAAACTCTATACAAAATAAGAAAATATATAAATATTATAAATCAAGAAAAGAGAAAAAGAGTAGCCAAAGTTAAGAATAACTTTCTTAAACTGCCTAGGAAATGATTTTTAATACTTAAAATTTAAACAAAATCAAGAAATTATTAATTTGGTTGTCTCTAATAACCTAAAAATGTTTCTATATTTTTTTCTTAAATCATATCCCATTACATTTCCCTCAAAAAATAAGCTGAATCATGTGACCATTAGCTTTTATTCCCCATAAATCGCAGACTTTCAATTTCCAGGTGCAGTAAAAATAACCTTGGTAAGAGTAAGTTGTAAAAAGCAGCTGCCAAGTTCAAGTTTTTCTCTTTTTTGTTGTTGTTTTTTTGTGGCTAGGAAAGAAATGTAGGAATTCACTGCCGAAAGAAATTACATCACTTCAGCTTCAACTTGAAGCGCCGCTTTTGGGTGGAGCAACATTCGCCGCCTTTTGAATTCATGAAAAGCAAAAAAAAAACAGGTGATGAGCATCATTTCTCATTTGAGATTTTTTCCCACTGCCACCGAAATAAATCCCCAATAAATTATGCAGCTTTTTTTCGAGGTAAAGTATTTATAAGAAAAATATATTGTTTGAAAAAATAACTACAAAAACACCAAAACAAAACGCTTTCACTTTCAATGCGGTGGCGGTTGCTGCTGTTCCAAAATCGTGCCGATATTTATGGTGTTTATTCAGTCAGGTCAGTTATTATTTCTTTTTGCGGTGAGCTTCGAGTGCCAACAGCCAATTGATGGTCTATGGCCAAGCTGAAAACAATTCAATTAAGCCAGCTGAAGTGGCCCACAGTTTGCGGTCAGATAAGTCCCCAAAAAGGCAATTAACAAATAATTGTTTGGGGCTACTTCTATATTTTTTTAAAAGATTTATGCAATATCTATGGCCACAACTGGGGAGGTAAAATATTGTCTAACAAGTAAGCTAGATTTTAAATTTTTGGCAGGTTTCTATATAAATTTTAGGCCATTAAATTTCAGTTATGAACTGGAGAGAGTATTTTTAATAGATTTTTATTTGTGGGAAGTTAAAAGTAATATTAAATAATTACAACAACTTATTAAGTTAATTTTCCATCTGTTTTTCTTGTAAAATTTCATCCCAAAAATTATGTTTTTGTAGGCCAAAAAAAACTCCCCCATCTCTTCACTTTATTTAGCCAAGTTTCAGTTCATCAAATCTACATTTCTGGCCATAGAACTCATATATTTTTTTTTCCTCCCGAGCAATTTGCCATTTTTAGCCATATTGGGGGGACTTTGGCAGCAAAACGCACAGGAAACCGGCTGCACCTGGTGGCCACCTCACCTGGCGGAGTAGGAGGAACAGAAGGGGATCGGCGACGGAGGCTGCTCCACAACCAGATGGTTTGCCTTTGACTGGCGGCGGCAGACTCGTTGATCTCTGCTCCAATTCCAATATGTGTGTGTATGCTCGTTTGGCTTTTTTTTCCTACGTTCGAACGAATATCTTTCATGTGTTCGCACCGTCGACATTGTGCAACATGCTCTTCGATATGGCTAAAAGCCCCCAACCCCCAAATAGGCCCCAAAGCCCAACTAGCAGCCCCTCCGATTGGCACACTGGCAACATTTTTTGACATACCATTTCAACAGAAGGAATTCCTACATTCCGAATTGGAATTACTGATTTTTTTACAGGATTCTTTGTTGTCATTAGACGCAAAATATATTTTAAATTATAGAAAATGAGTTAAGATTTGATTGTAAATTGATTACTCATAATTTAAAGGTATTGTTATGTTTTAAATATATTTTTTAAATATTTAAAACGAAGCAAAAGAAGCTTATTTTGTTTTTATTACTTATTTTTCTTCTTCATGGTCTTTTTGATTTTAGTAATTATTTTTAATCATAGCTAAGTTCTCAAATTATTAAGAAATATTTTTAAGCTTATACTACGTTAATATTAAATTTATGCCCTACTTTAAATATATTAATTAATAGAATTCTTGTTAAATAAAAATATACACTACAAAATAGCACTCTTTAGCAACTAATTTTAAATTCTCTAAATTCTTATATAATTTTTCCTTAAAAATAAATGTAATCCTTTAAGATCAAACATTCCTTTTTATTGGTAACACCTTTCCCAGTGTGAAATTGGCAACAGCTGCCGCGAATATTTGAGAAGCTGGAGAGCGCAGATTGCGCTGCACCCAGGCCCAGGCCCAATCCCAGATCTGAATCCAAATCCGAATCCGAGTCATGTTTCTCTATTGCCACTTTCGATTTTTCATAGCTCGCTGTCGCTATATAGCCGCTTTTTTTTTTGTTTTTTTTTTGCAACTCACTGGCCGTACTCCGTGGCCCCCGCTTTTGGGGCAATAATTGTAAGTGGACCTGGGCATTTATGGCGTTTTACTTCTTTGGGCCATTTGGTCCCCATGTTGGCCATTTTGCACGTGTTCGGCCCACAAAAGGGAAACAAAACGAAATGCGAGAGAAACGGGGAAGAAATATGCCCGGTAATTGTGTGCTTCCCCCTTGATGTGTCAGCAGAAAAAAAAAAAACAGAAACACACTTTTTGTGTGCGGTTCCTTTTGCAAATGTTCCTTCCTGGACAATTCTCAGCTCGAAAAAAAAAAATGAAAAAAAAAACAGAAACGCTCGCCTTTGCTCGAAATGTTTGCCATCCGCTTCAAAGTGAATTATTCAATGGCAAAGGAAATGAAAATTAATCATTCAAACAGAAATATGAATGACTCGATGGGTGTGGGGTCTGGGTCTATGTTGCCTTTTTTTTTGTCAAGGGATTTTAGCCATTTTTCTTTCAATTATTTATACACAAAATGGATAAGAAATTCAATTGTGAATATATGAATTGGAAATGGGTTTAAATTTAATTTTTGTAAGTCTTTAGTACAAGATTTAAGTTAGTTAAGTAAGTTATTTAATTTTTTAAGGATTTACTTAGGTCTTGCTTACCTTTGCAGTCCCAAAATAAGTCAAAACTATTTAATTATTAATTAACAAACGCATCTAAACGTATATACTTAACCCAAATCGAGGTACAAAATGTTCAATTACATTTTTTAGGTCATAAAAGCCTTTTAATTTTGCAAATTACTCAAAAGCTTAAAGCCTAAATACAGCTCAAATTCGTAAATCATATCGATAATCCCTAGGCTTAGTTGAACGACCCGACACAATGGGCCATAACTGAAACCATTAAATTTGTATTTAAATCCACTCATTGCTCAATCCGCCTGATGATGCAATAATACCTAGCACTGCAGGCAGACATCGGGGCAAAAAAAAACCAACAACATGAACATCACCAAGGCAGAAGCAAAAGCATCATCATCACCATCGACATCTGACATGCCGAGGGCCAAGCAACAACCATCGTCATCGCCAGAGCCCATCTTCATCTTCGTCTCCATCTCCATCTGTAGCCTTATCTCCCTCAATCATTGCTGACGCACAGTTCAAGTGGCACTGGCACAAATCACAATCTCAACAAAATCCACATATATATCGTAGAAAAAGTCAGCAACATGGACTAGACATCATCGGAGGAGGCAAACTCTGACATAATTTGGTCAAAATAGTTGGTGTCTCGTGATGATTGTTGCTTATTTTTTTATTACTTTTATGGGGTTTTAATACTACTCAGAAGATGAAGTGGATTCTGTTTGGTTTAAGGGGATTTTTTGGTGGAATAAAGAGGGATATATGAACCATAAAGACCTGATTGAAGATATAGAATTTGATGCTTTAATTCCTAATATTTCTTAAAATTTTAGTTCCCTCTTTTAATATAAAGCCTTACCAACCAGGAAACGTAATAGATTCTCATAGATTCTTGCTATTCAATTCCTTATATTTTATAATTCCCTGACAACAGTTGTTTCACGAAATGTTTACCATTTTAGTACTTGCAAAAAACCATATTTCATGTCGGCTTCACACCCAAAAATCCCACACACCTGCAGTGCGGATACACCCATTTCCATTTTCATTTCCATTCACAGACTCGGCGCAGATACGTAGATACATCTTGCCCGATGATGCCTCAAGTTCAAGATACAAAAACAATTTGCGAACAAAACAATTTGAGCTTGGTACTCATGTACATTGTGCATTGTTTTCTTTTGCTTCTTTCGGCCAAGTAACGAAACATTTTTTCCCGCACTTCCGCGTGTATCCACAAGATACATGGCATCGCGGTACAAGAGA